TATACTTCGCAGTGTTTAGACATATAAAGATATCAATATGTAGCCACCGTGCCTTTTGGTATTCCAGTAGAAGCTGAAGAGTGTTTCTTATTATTGTGTCTGGGACTCGGACATGAGTCCGCAGTTACTCCCGTACTCTGCTTTGTTTATTGTTTTACGTTTTCTTTTTATTTTCCAGGCCTCTAGGCTGATACAGCCAAGACACATTTGGCCTTACAGCTCCCTGTATGCTCCACAGGGCTCTCTGATGGTTGTCTTTGCCTCTCCATGAGTACCAGTGGTGCTGACCTGACTTTCATTACCAACATCAGACAGATCCTGAGCTTCTCCCTGCCGTTTCCTTCACATTTGTGTGAAGCATGCTAGACCAGCGTGTGTCCTGTACCAAATGTGTGAAACCCCATCCTGCCCAGCAGAGCTACCTCCAGCAGACTTAGATCAAAGACACAGAGGGGCTGTGGGAAAACAAAAACCATCGTCTGGCAAACCAAGATCTGTCTGAGCCCCAGCCAGAGTTGTTCCAAGTTCTTTATGAGCGTGCAAAGACAGCCAGGCAACTTCTCAACAAAGTCACTCTATAGTAACCTGTTTCTTTCCTAAGTAAGAGACATCTCCAGGGAAAGGGTCATACCTAGGTTGATACCAGATGCAGTACCTGGTCCAAGGGAGAAGCCACTGGCAATTCAGGAGACCTACCTAATTCTTTGGCTTTCTTAGCAGCATCAGTGATGTAATCTTGTGATCGTCCATCAGTGAAGACTATGCCCACCTTGGGGACCCCAGGCCTAGCTCCATTGATGATGGAAAAGGAACTGTCAATGAGGTACTTCAGAGCCTGGCCTGTCATCGTTCCTTTCTCCATGTAGGCCATTTTCTTGACTGCTGCTTTGATGTCCTTCTTGTTCTTGAACTGCCCCAGTGGAAACTCTTGTCTGACAGAGCTGGAGTACTGAACCAGGCCAACTTGGGCCTGTTTGTCTGACACCTCCAGCGAGTCCACAATTTGGTTGATGAATTTCTTCACCAGCTCGAAGTTCTCAGGCCGCACACTCTTGGAGCCATCGATCAGGAAAACGAGATCCAGAGCAGATCCTGACCCGCCACTGCAAGCTGAAGCAAAACATGAGGAGAGTGCAAAAGAAGACAGCAACTAAGACCCCGATTAGTTATGTAGGAAAATAGTGTCATTTTATCACTAATGAAATAGATTTAATCAATCAAAACTCAACAACAGTTCACACATTTTCAAAATAATTCTTGGTTATAAATACATGGTTTCCTTTTCTGCCTTTTCTGAACAGAACACGTCTACCCTGTCTCAATCCTATCCCCACCATACCCCTGCAAATCACAGCTCGGCTCAGTGCAAATGGAAATCATTACATACCACTGCAGGTCTTCCCATCATTGTTCAGCGTGAAACCCTCTTTACAAGCACACTTATATGCTCCTGGGGTGCTGATACAGATCTGCTCACAGTCGTGGTCTCCAGTGGCACACAGGTCTGACACCACTGTAAGCAAAGGTGCAGATTGAAATCAGAGACCATGCCAAGGCTTTTCAACCCGGACCTTGCTCAGCTCATGCACAAAGCGTGATAATTGTCCCATACACTCAGTGATAACTAAATCCGCTCTGCAGCAAGAGGTCGTTACTCTGGGATAGTGACTGAGATACAAGAGGCAAGGAGAAATTTTCACAAGTGTCCTGACTCCAAGACACAGCCAGGACTAGAAATAATCTCCATACCAAGGGCAAAAACCATCTGTCTGTCAAGCATATCACAATATACTTCACCCTCCAAAGCTACTGGATGAGATTTTGTTTCCAACCTACCATCTGGGCTGGCCAATACCCATTTTTTCCAGCTAGGTAGTACAATTACGATTAGTGAGTTCAGCCCCATGTACAGTTGTCTTTCCTGGATGGGATTCATGTGCAAACATACTTGGAATTCACTTCAGAGATACCCTCACATGTGTAGCTTTTAGATTCTCTCTCTACAAACAATTCTGCCTGCTGATGTTAACCTGGATCTGACTCTTGAGATGCTGAGCAAACAGAAGCTGAATTGCAGCAGTCTCAGCCAGCAACATTCAGTAACTGACAACGTTGTCACAGCTACAGCAATAATGATGGAAAACAAACTTGAAAGGAAACAGCTCTGGTTGAAGCAAATTAATTTACAAATACCAGGGAAATCTGTGTAGAAAACTGAGCATTGAGTTCTATCAGAATGATAGGAGGTGGTGTAAAGTCTTTCAAGGTTAGGGGGCTTCTATTCATTATTTCAAGTTGTTTGCGCTCTGCTCTGCATGTATTTTGACAGTTTCTGGCCTTCAATTCACACTTCTGCATGTTGTGCCAGCACTGGTAGATCTTTCCAGCATATATGTAGGTCGTATCATTAGGAATATTACTAATCATGCAGATGGCTGTAACATTGGGCTCTCAGGCTCAGTTCTCTGAGAATTTATTAGTCTAACTAGTGGCTGGATCGTCAAGGGTGTCCCTTTTTCCCCACGTGATTGTTGAGCTCTGTGGGAAACAGTTTGGACAGTGCTGCACAGTTCTTCCTGCTGCCAGTACCCACAAACCGTGCTTTGCAAGAGCAGGTGGTGTTTGGGTACATCTCCAAGGACGGTTTTGTGCAGCTGCTTGCATAGCACTGTCACAGCCCACTTGGCAGTTAATATGGCGCTATCCTCTGTTAGCTAAAATAATCCTTAGCCCAGTGCTTCCCTTGGATGCATCTCTGAGGGTTTTTACCACGGGGTAAAAAACCTGCATGTTACAAATTTGAAAAGCAAGGCACAGAAAGGATTTTTTTTTCTTTTTATCTCTTTGAATGACACCAATGCTAGAACTTCAAAATGCATTGTCAGGGCTCTCCGTCTCCATCTCCATCTCTGGCTGACTCCTGACTCCAGGGCAGCCAACACAAACTCCCACAAATATTCATGGCCTGGATGCCACCTTCTTAAATTTTGTCTTTATCCCGCCTTTAGTGTGAAGTATTTGTTCCTCTCTTTCATGAGCTTCTGGTGCACTGACACCTGATTATAATACATGACTCACTTTATATTCAAGATTTTCCTCCTTCCTACAGAGGAGGAGATTTTCCTTGACAAAAAGCTGCTCACCCCCATCATTTTCAGCCTGGAAGTTGAATTGTGAAATTTTACACCTCTTGAAGAAATTGGTCTCGGAGAGTTTTACAGGTCCGTCGGGGTGTATGTGTTTGCAGTGCCTTGCCGTAGGCACTGCGGTGTATCGCACCTTTGGAAAAATGTTGCCACACGTCTGTGGTTTGACAGGATGGGCGTGCAAAACCCCCAGGCCCTTCTTGCTGGCACATAAAACGGATATTTATAGACCACCTCCTACAGTCTTGTGGGTACGTTTGAAAGTAATAAAGCTTTCTCACTCCATTCACCGGTTCAGGTAGGAGTGAATATGTGTTTGTAGGACAGTCAGACTGTTTTTATATGCTGTGCAGAAAGGCATTAGATACTGCACCAGCCAGGAGAGCTTCCTGCCTCACAAGGCTTGCAAAACCAGCAGCGTAGTCAGGCAAAGGCAGTTCAGCCTCTAGCAGGGAAGTGAAAGCATCCCTTGCTTAACTGGGAATTCAGAAGGCGATACTGGAGGGGGAAATTACAAGCCAGATTCTCAGAACTGCCCGGATAGGTTTAAACATAAAGACAATGATTTTTAGATAAAGATCGTGTTTTCAGGTTCTTTTTCAATGCCTCAAGGAGTACGGGGGGTCACGTTAACAAACTCTTCTGTGCCAATGAGGCCTGGAGATTTCTTTAACTGAAACCTGAAATTCCCTAAACAAAACCTGAAATACTTGAAAGGCAACTTCAAAGAGCATCTGTCTTCCATACTGCTTCGTGCTCCTGCAGACCCAGGGCCTTGAACAAGGAAGCAGATGGATGACGGATGGTCACACATGCAAGTTCCATGTGAAAAGCTCGCTGGCAGCCACTTGCGACTCGTGGCTAGGAACCCTGGGGCTGCGGCAAGGACTTACCACAGAAAGCTTCTTGAAACTTGTGGGTCAGCTTCTCTATAACACTGTAGCTCTCCACATAGTCCACATGATCGTCCAGGGGCTCGCTAGCAATTTGCCGCAGTGTGTGCATGTCCACCCGGCCAACCCCGATGGCAAAGATCTCGATGCCAGCTGCCCTGGCCCTGGCTGACACGTCCTGCACTCCGTCCTGGGGACGCCCATCGGTCACAACGATCGCCACCTACGCAAAGGAGGGCAGAGGCAAGGTGTATGCTTGAATGGGCGTTGATATCACTATTGTTTGTGGAGCGGGCTGGGTTAGTAAAGCAGGTTTCACATTTCTAAAATTAAAGGAAAAGGAAATGAAACTCCCTCCTCCCCCTCTTCCCGTTCTTCCTGAGATCACAGAAGCCATTCTTTTATGTGGGGTTTGTTTCTTTCTGAGCTGGAAAGGTTAAACTGCCAGGGACCTGACTGATTTAATTAAGGGACAACTGGTGCATCTCGCCCCTAAGGAAACCAAAGTAAAGGTTACGTTCTTCATATGTGAACTAATACTCAAGACAGACTCTTAACTATCTTCACGAACCCCCAGCTGACAGTAAGGACAACTCTGACTGGGTATGGGACTTTAAAGAATCTCAGGTACTGTCATGGAAACATCATGAGATGAAGAGTTTTCCCCATTTTATAGATGGAGAAGCTGAAGCAGAGAGGGGAGGAGATCTGCCTAAGGTCACGCTGTGTGTCAGTGCCTGCTGTGATTTCTGATTCCCAGTAAATAGCAGAGATGAAATCCTACCCCTACTAACACGAGCATTCAAATGACAGCTGGTTTCAGCGTGAACTGGATTTCACCTTGGATTAGATGGAACTCTGAACCAGTGGAAAGCCTCCAAGGGTCCTGCTCCTGTTGCTAGTTTGTCCATTTTCTTCTTTATTTTTCTTCTGGTAAGTGACATTGCCACAAGACCTTAAGTTTTGCTCTTTGCCAATTCACCTCCTCCTGCCACTTTTCCTTACCACTGTTTTATTGTGACACCACTGTCAACTCCAGAGCAAGGGATTGGGATGTAATGCAGTATGGAGAAATATAATAAGCAGGAGCAGGTGAAGCAGAAAAAAACTCCACATTGCAGACAAATACCCTAGTAATATAGAAAGTACAGAAACATCAAATGAAAAACACAGGAAAAAATCTATCTGGCAGCAACGGTGGGTTTGAATGAGCTATCATCTGATCATTACGGCAGTATTTGCTGTTCTCCTCTACGTCATGTATGCTGTTCATCTTTCTGAAGATAAAATCAGACCCGCCAGCTGCTCAGTTAGGACAGTGTGACAGCTGGTCTACATCCTCAGGTGGAAAAAAATAATTTCGGGTAAGGTCAGGAGTGGGGTTCCCTGCCCCACATGTCCAAGGGGTGCTGGACATGCAGATGAAGTGGCTCCTTCCCCCTCTGACCACCCTTCAGCTGAGGGATGGCTGAATGCTGCTGTCATCTACCCCAGAGTAATACTGCAATACTAAAGTAATCTGCTGCCCCATTCAGAGCTTTGCTTCTACGCAAAATATTGGTGAACCAGGAAAAATGTAGAGCTTTTCAATCTGGTGCAGATCTGTAAGATCAGGTGCTTATCTGCACTTCCTAAGGGCTACAAAATTAAAAATTCCTACTAGCATCACAATTCTGTAACTGGCCTCTTCCAAGGGAAAATAAATAAATAAATGCAAGTATTTCTCTTCTGCTTGTGGCCAAGATAAGGATAAATGTCACCTGTGGCAGGTGTCGGTGCGTATTGTAAAGGGTGATGAACACAGCAATCAAAGCTTGATCCAAAAGGAGCGCTCGGGCTCTTTCTGGACCAGCAGCCAAGCCAAGGACCAGCTCCAGCCATGCAATCGTGCGTTCTGCCAGGAGAGAGAGCCCTTGACTCAGCTGCTCAGCAGCTGGCTAAGCAGCTCTGCTTTCTGCAGACACCCAGCAGCTCTGAGAAGGGGGCTGCCAATTAGAGCTTATCAAAAGCCAGCCTGTCAGGAAACAAGATGTATTATCAAGTAGCTTCTGCGAGCAACACCACCCTATGAACAGGTTTCTGTCGGCAGCTGCGTGTCTTTCTCGCAGTGTTTGTCACAGGGTGGAGGTGTTGCACATCCTCCTGGCATTCCTCTGTCTAAATAAAGTGATTCTCCGAGTTTAATCCGTTCCTTTTGTTCTTCACGTCAGGGTGGCATCTTCACACAGGCCTGAGCCCCAGGTATGACCCAGGAGGTGTCTGGCAGCAGCATCCACATCTGGATCTGATGGGAAAGATCTTCATAATGGATCTACGTGAAAATCCACGGTAGAGCACTCAAAATTCATGTTGCTTTCTGACCTGCTGCTGAAGAAAACAAAACTTCTGGGTACAAATTGTCTGGATCAGGCATCGGGAATTAATCAGTGAACCCATGGCCGAAATGAACATAACAGTGAGTCAGACCAAGCACCAACCGGCCAGGGATCCAGTCTGTGACCGTGACCAGGGCCAGGTGCTTACAGAAAGAGTGCAAGAAATGGAACAAGTGTAAAGTCACCTTGCTCTCATATGTAGTTATTCTGATAATCAGGAAATCCTGATTTTTTTTTTTTTTCTTTCCTAGGATTCCCCCTCAAGACATTCGCCCTGCCTGACAGCCTGAGACAGTGAGTTCCAGTAAAAAAAAAAAAATCCTTTTTTTTTTTTAAATCTACCTCCAAATTATTTGCAGTCCCAGGATCTCTGTAATTCTCTGTTATGACAAGGTCAATGTCTCACTTGAAAAGCTGAGAGCCTTGGTATGTGCCTTGTTTGGTAAAAACCAAGAGAGAGGTTGGAGGAAAGGAGCAACTGCTGCATCCTGGAGAGGCTGACACTGCTCTGCGGCGGAAGGCTTGTGCTGGACTCAGCAGGTAGCCGTGTGAGGAAAGTTAAGAAAGGGCGAACGCTTTTGCTCTCTCAAATAGCTGAACGGGATCTCCAGTTTTGCTCTAAGGAAACTCAGAAATTTTTGCTTTTCAAGGTCAAAGTTTTTACTCATTTTAGCTGCCGCCTTTCATTTTCCCCTGAATTCCTAGCTTTCTAGGTCCTTCTTGTGTTAATTCTGTCATATAGAAATCCCCCATGTTCTCATGACACAATTTATTCTTGGTTAACTGAGACACCAGCGCATTCACAGGCATCCCTAGGTATTTATATTTCAGGGTTGCCTTGTGTAGGCAACCCAGCAGCTAATGAGGTAGCTGTGTCTCATTATGCAGTGTGTAACATGAATGTTGTAACAGCACTGAAAGGGGAATTGGGCAGAAAGTTGAATAAGCCCTTGATTTCCTCAGCAATTTGACATTCTATTTGTGTTCCTCCTCAAGAATGATAAAAGTAATTGGGCACCCCTGTAGTGTTTGATAAAGGTATAAACAGACTTTACTCTGAGCTCCTACAGCAACAAATAGTGCTTTTCCCAGTCCTGGGGTGACGTTTACTGCCTAGAGCACAGCAAGATCAAACAATCTTGTGATGCTTTGACCACTGTCCCACATGGTTGACAATCATAGCACAGATTTTCACAAGGTCTTGCTGGACTTCTGTTGTATGAAGGAGCAAGGACCGTGTCCAATGTTTCTGGAAGCTTCATCTCCCTAAATTAGTGCATGACCTATTCATCCTCCCAGGCGGTTGGTGAGGCCACCATGAACAGTATGAGGGTCACAGAAGGCAAATGTTTGCTGGACTTCAAGGCATCATGAAAATTCTCAACCAGGGAATCAAGGAATGCAAATGGATTTAGAGTCTCTCCCTTTAGAGGTATTCCAAAGGCATCTGGACATGGTCCTGGGCAATCAGCTCTAGATGGCCCTGTTTGAGCAGGGGTGTTGGTTAATACAACCTCCAGAGGTCTCTTCCAGCCTCAACCTTTCTGTGACTTTGTCTCTGACCAGATCCAAAATGGAACGAAAGAGGGAAAAGCCTGGAGTGAATTTTTTTTCTTCTTTTTTAATGTCTAATATAAATAATGAAAAAGACAATTACCATTCTTCTGCTTTTTTAGATGTTCAGGAAATAACTCTTCAGGCAGACAAAGCATCTTTAGAGTTCTTTGTACCACTGTGCACGGAAACATTGATACTTTAGCCCCACTACTGCAGTAAGCCACTAAATAAATTGGATTTTTTTTTTCAAGTGTTCTGATATTTAAACTAAAGGCTTGTTTGGTGTATTAGCAGGACATGGCAGCTCCTGTTTATGTGTATTGAGATGACAGCAAACCACAAAGATTGCAAGAGTATGTTGAGTTGTCTGGCAGCCCAGCTGCAGAGCAGACAAGAGCAGGGAAAAAGTGCACAAGGAAATGGGTTACTTAAATGGTGTGGAAGAGATTATTTAGATAAAGATCCAGGCATTTTCATAGATGGCTCAGTGAAAATGTCTCTTCAATCTACAGTAATGGTCAATGCTGCGTGTAAGGTGTCAGGCTGTATTAAGGAGAAAAATAGAGACTAATACTGAAAGTATTATAATAGTATTACATAAATTAGGACTGTGTCCCAGTCCTGACCTACACATGGCCACCTCATCTTAAAACAGACATTGAGGGATTAGATAAAGACATGTGAAAATAAAGAAATATGGTGAGATGTCTGAGGGTTGTGAATGGATTGAGTAGCAGTCCTGGAGGAAAGCAAATCTAAAAAGATCCCATTACTTGTTCCATTTGAAAGGTAATAATGAGAAAACCAGTGAAATCAATGGGAGCTGCCTTCACACAAGACTGGACATCAAACCCCTCTTTTAGGATCCTGCTTTCATAACCCAGGTACTATTCTAGGTGCAATGACTGGCCGTAGGGTTCCTGTTTCTTGCTTTCCCCCATCTACTGGGTGAAGATGTCTGCCCAGCTCAGAGGTCTGAGGACTCTGTGCATGCCGCTGGAGCTGCATCAGGGTTGTGCTCAGTGTGGGATCACTGGTGCCACAGAGGGCACTGGAATTGCTCTTCCAGCAATGAGCTTATCAAGTGGAAGACAGCAGATGCACGGAACAGTCTTGACTCCCTTTGCTGTTCCTCCACCACCCTCCTTTGCTCACAGGACAAGTGTCAAAAAGAGGAGAATGGCTTCAGCCACCTTGGTGCCCCTGACT